GGGCGCAGGTTCGAGGCCCCACCGCCCGGGGTCGCCGTGGCGCTCGTGTCCCGTCGGTCGGCGCAGGCACAGTGCACGTCGCTTCAACCACACAGCAGCCCCAGAGGCTGTGCCCCCCACCATCTTACAAAAGAGGAAAAAGACCCTTGAAAGAGCACCCAGACCTAGCCAGGGAGTGGTACTGAGGGAAGGGGAGGCGTCCTGGGGTCTGATACTGCCAGGGAAACTGAGGCCAACCAAAACAGGTCCCAAAGCCAGGTAGGGCCCCTTTATAAACAGGGGTACCCACTCAGGACTCCCCTGCCAAGGAACCCACGGGCCTCCAGTCCAGCTAAGGCTGGGCTAGTCTGTCCCCGCAGGGCCAGGATGCTTTGGGCTGTGTGCCTTGGTTTCCCCGCTAGAGCAGGAGGGTGTGGGCAGAGCCCGATAAGGGAGGAGCAGGGCCCAAAGCTGGGCACCCCCCTCGTGCTGGGCGATAAGGGAGCGTGGGAACCCAGCGGGCAGCGGGGGCGGCGCCCCAAGAACTTTCCAAAACAAGTGGCCTCCTCCGCTGGATGGAAAGTTCCCAGTACTGGAGCCGGCCCAAAAGGTGGAGACCTGGGAATGCTGGCTCCAGGCCTGTCTGAAGGGCCCCGGTGTGAAGGATTAGGAAGGGAATGTGGCCTCTCCAGCTGGAGAGGGGCCCGGAAGAGGTGGTTGCTGGACAGGGACAGGGTTTTTTTGTTGTTTTTGAGACAGGGTCTCACTATGTAGTTGAGACTGACCTGGAACTCACTGTGTAGCCCAGACTGGTCCGAACTCACAGTGATCCTCCTGCCTCAGCCTCCTGAGTGCTGGGATCACAGGCGTGCGCTACCACACCCAGCAGGGACAGGATTTTGAGATGTGAGAAGTCTGCCAAGAAAAACTGCAGACAGAGCCACCTGAGGCTCTGAAAGAAAAGCCTTGGGAGGGGCTTAGGTGGCCAGCTCGAGGGGCAGAGGGGCAGTGTGGGGACTGGCAGACCCTCAGGGCTGGGAACCAGGACTGTGCTGCTGAAAAACATGCCAGGCCGGGCTCTGACTTCCCCTCCCTTCCATCTGTTTGCCCTGCTGCGGGGCGTGGAGACCAGGCCAGTTCCCAAGGTGAAGACAGCGAGGGGACAAACACCACTGCCATCGAGCTCCAACCCGGCCACCCTGAGATCCACTCTGCTTCCATATAGCAGATAAGAAGGCCTGGCTCCAAGTGGCCAAAGAGCCATGGGGGCCTGGGTGGACAAGCTGCTGTGGGTCCTGCCCCAAGTTTACTTCCATTAGAACATACATATTTTGTCTTTTTATTTTTCAGTGCTGGGGATTGAACCCAGGGCCTTTGCACTGAGCTATGCCCCAGCCCTATTTATTATTTCAACACAGGATCTTGCTAAGTCAATGAATAGCCCAGGCTAGGGTGGAACTTGGGACCCTCCTGCCTCAGCCTCCCTGCGGTCCCATCGCATTCCAGGTAGTCCACACTTCCTGGAACCTAAGCATAAAGTTTTCCCTGAGTCCCTGGGGCTTGGTCTCTGAAGGTTCCTGGGCCTTGTGGGACTCAGGCTCCATGAATTTGGGATGCTGGGGGGATGGAGCTGGGGTGGGACACAGGGCTGGCACATGCTCTGCAGGTGCCACAGCCCTGATCCCTCTTAGGTCTTTGTCACAGGAGTATGGGGTGTGCCTCTCCTGAGGGGTGAGGCAGGGTACCCTATCCACCCGAGACCCCACCAGCAGGGTGTGCAGAGGTGTGGGTCCTGGGGCTCAGCTGTTCACAGGGGTCGGAGCAGCCTGTGGCCCACCTCTGTGTGAGTCACTGCTTGGCTTCGGTGATTTCCGGGCTGCTTCAAGCTGCTCCCCCAAATGATCACACCTAAAGTGGGGGTGTGGGGACCCCAGCGCTCAACCTGCCCCTGGTTGGAAATGTGGGCAGCAGAAATCCCAGCGGCACCTGGGGAGTGGCACCCTGGGCTGGACGGTGCCTGGGGGACTTCAGCTCCTGGGGTTCAGAGGGGGTGTCGTGGGCAAAGATGCAGCAAGGACAGGCCCAGGACCCCACACGTCTGGGGCGAGCTGCGGGGGTGCAGGCAGGCGGCAACACGGGAGGCAAGCGGACAGGACAGGCTCCAGGCTGAAGGAAGGTGGCCTTGGGCTTTCTGCCATCCTCCCCCGCAGTACCCAAGGAAGGTGACAGCAGGGCTGTGGCTGGCCAGGCAGGGAGGGTGGAGGGAGGAGCAGAGGTGGGAGAAGACATGGCCCAGGGGTGGGTGGTGGCAGGGGACTAGGCCCCTTTGGTTTTTGTTTTGTTTTTTTTTGAGACTGCGTCTTGTCATGTAGCCCAGGCTGGCCTAGAACTTGCAGCAATCCTCCTGCCTCAGCCTCCCCAGGGCTGGGGTCACAGGCACAGGTGTGCCACCGTGCCTGGCTGTAAACTAGGACCCTCTGTAGCCCAGCGTGTCCCAGCCTGCTGGGAAAGGAGAATGGCTGCATGAAGGCACTGATTGGTCACAGGGACGTCCTCAGTCCTCCAGCTTCTTGTCTTAGCCACAGTGTCCCCCAACCTGGGTCACACAGCAGGACACCAAGCTCCAGATCTCCCACAAGCTGTGCTTGGGGTTATGCTAACGCCACCCACATTACCTCCCAGGGACCTGTGGCAGGTTTTTGCTTTGCTTTTTTTGTTTGTTTGTTTGTTTTTGAGATAGGGTCTCACTATGTAGTTGAGACTGACCAGGAACTCACCATGTAGCCCAGGCTGGTCTGAACTCACAGCAATCTGGGATTACAAGCATGCAACACCACACCCAGCTAGGTTTTTGCTTCTTGAAGTACTAGGGATTGAACCCAGGGCCCTTGTACTGAGGTGCACCCTTGACCCCTTCCTACTTTCTGAGACAGGATCTTGCTAAGTTGCTCAGGCTGGGCTCACATTTGGGATCCTCCTGCCTCAGCCTCCCAGGGTGCATGGACTAGAAAGGGCTGTGCCATTGTGCCCATCCCAAAGGTAGCTCTTGCTGGGCGTGTAGGCTCAGTGCCTGTCTCTGTGCCAGGCGCATCCCTGCTGCTGTGTCAGCCCTGGTGGGAGGAGCCCTAAGCGCAGCACGCAGCCGTGTTGACTGAGATTCTCTGCTCTGGGACTCTGAGCCCTGCAGGGTCAGACCTGCCCCGGAGCTGGCCTGTGCTGCTTCTGCCCCACCCTGGGGCTTCTTGTGTCCTGTCCCAAGGCCAGGAGGAAGGTGCAGAGTAACCTGGCAGGCAGCTCTGGGAAGCCCACAAATACGAGGCAGTGCCCTGTCACCTGGGAAAAGCCACCTTGAGGGCGGGCGATTTAGCTCAGTGGCCCTGCACCTGCCTTGCAAGTGCAAAGTTCTGAGTTTGATCCCCCATACTAAAAAAAAAAGCCACTTTGGGATCGTCCCTGGTCCAGGCCACCAGGACCCTGGCCACCCTTGCTTAGCTGCACCCGCCCCAGGCTCCTGAGCACCCTCCGGTGTCACCCCTGGGCTGCTCAGGACGGCAGCCAAGACCCGGCATGTCCCTGAGAAGGCCGGGGGGTGGCCAGGCTGTCCCTGCAAGGGAACATGCTTCCCCACCCGTGCCCCTCAGATCCCTGCACTGCCTCAGAACTCAGGCCAAGGCCGCGGCGGACCGCTGACCCCGACCCTCGCTCCTGCAGGAGGCTGTTTTTCCTCTGCAGAATAAACACCCGCCCCACCTGGCCTTGGACGGGCCTCTGGGCCTGCTCCGTGCTGTATCTCCCACCCTGCTGGGTCCCTGGAGCCAGGAGGGAGGACACAGCCCCTGGTCCCTGAGCGCGCTAGTGCCAGCCTGGTCTGGGAGGAGCAAGGAAACACTGCCAGACCTGCTGCTGGGCCATCCCTGAGCTCCTGGGCTCACGTGATCCTCCTGCCTCAGCTTCCTGGGAGTTGGGGACAGGTGGGCCCCTCAGCCAGTCCCAGTCCTCTGGTGCTCACAACCCTGCTGTGGTCCCCAGTCCCGCCCCGTCCTCCCCTGACCCAGCTGCCACACATACAAGCCCGACTGCTGGGTGGCTGGGTTCGTTCAGTGTAATTTATTGTAGGATGAAAAAATCAGCATTCACCTGCTTAGTGTACAAAAAGGACCCTGGGTCTCTTAAGAAAATGTTAGCAAACTGCAGATGCGGACGCCTTCTGATTGTAACATTTGGCAAAAGTGAAAAATTCTTTGTAAACACCAAGTCCATGGCTCAAAGTAGTTTCTCCACAGTACAACATTCAAAGGGAAATAAAACAGCATCAATAAGTTAGGCCGTATTTAATCAGCGAGTGAGCATCGCCTGCCCCAGGGCAGAGCCCTTCCTTGACGTTGAGGTCCCCTGGGACGAGGGCCTCTCATGGCACGGGGGTGGCAGACTCAAGGGGACCCCTGAACAACGGCTCCCGAGTGCGCACAGCGCCCTCCTCAGCCGCCAGATGCCCGCCCTCGTGGAAACACAACAGCCACTGAAAGGGGCTGGGCTTCCGCAGAGGAAGGAGCCCCACGGCGCAGGCGCCAGCTCTGTGGCAGCAGCCGGCCACACTCGCGCGCACACACACGCACACGCACGCACTCGCACACACACTCACCGTCCCACCACGCCGGGGACACTGGAGACGAGGCACAGTACAAAGCAGCACAGGGTGTCCTGGGGCCCCGCCCTCCCTGAGTGCAAACCCAGCGATGGCCTGGCTGAGGTGACCTTGGGACCCACAGGTGGACAGAGGGACGGAGGGAGGCCAGTGGCGTGGGGACCGCGGCCTCCACAGGGACAAAGAGCAGCCGCACAGGGGAAACTGAAGGCCCCGTCACGTCACACCCACGGGGCCCGACGCGGCCAGCGGTAACACCGCTAATACTGCACAGGGACCTGGACGTCCGAGGAGAGGAGGCACAGCTTTAGAAAGAACTGCTTTCTCTTGTACAAAAATAGACGAGTCTCTTCGGTGGTAGCGCATAGAAAACTAGAAAAGGCAGCGGGCTGGCCCGAGTCTTGGCGGTGGCCAGGGACGCAGGGACCCAGGCGGCCGCACTGAGCTGAGCGTCCTGCGTTTATTGTCTGCAGTGAGCCCAGCCTGCCCACTCCGCCTGGCGCCCGTTGCCCGGGGCACTGCTAGGGCCAGGCCTGCAGCTGGCGCTGGTCGAACTCGGCGATGAGCCGCTTGATGTGCGCCAGCTTGCTGTGCAGGTACTCGCAGCGCTGCTTCTCCTGGCTGTAGTTGGTGTTGGTCTGGGGGACGGGGGCAACGTGAGGGTGCGCTGGGGAGAGCAGGCGGGGCGCGGAGCTCAGCCCCCCGGGTGCCCACACCCCCGAGACTCACCTTTTTGATTTTGCGGTACTCCTGCAGGATCTGGCCCCGAGTCGTCTGCAGGGAAAGGAGAGCAGGTGGCACCCCCTCTGCCGGGAAGCCTCCCCGAGCCCAGGCAGGGCCAGCCGAGAGGGCCGGGCGGTGTGGGAGCCGGGCAGTGGGCAGACACCGCTGTGGGGGTGGCAGAGCCAGGCAGCTGCCCTTGTCTGACAGTTGGTGTTGCCCGCTGCTCCCAGTATGGGGGGTCACGTGGGTGCTTCCAGGAGGAGGGGTCCCCAGCCCTGAAACCCCCTCCTTCCCCAATGCACTGGAGACCCACAGGGGCACTGGAGACCCACAGATGAGGACCCCAAGGCCCAGGGCCTGGCGCTGCAGGAGGCACCAGGCTCTTAGCCCTGGAAGGGGCAGGTGGAGGGGACAGGAGGGACCGAGGGTGGGGACAAACATTGACCGGGCTCCGAGCCTTCTCGGGTCCAAGGCGTCCCCCTGCCTGAATGGCTGTTGACTCAGGCAGGCTCCTGGATCTTGGCCTCTGCCTACCAGGATGTGTGGGCCCGGCCTGGCTGCAGGAATCCCTCCGGATCCTGCCACAGCCCCGCGTGTGCTCTCCGTGACTTTCTGTCCCCCAGCAGCTCTTCCTGCCCAGCCCCATGGACCTCTGGCCTGGGCCTGTCCCCCACTCCATGGCCACAGCGCCTTGGGGCCCCCGCCTGTGCAGAAGACCCCAACCGCCTCCTGGTCCTGTTCACAAGTGTCACTGCCTAACCCCTTTCCTTCTTTTTTGGTACCGGGGATCGAACTCGGACCTTGTGCTTATGAGGCAGGCAGCAGCACCACTGAGCTACATCCCCTGTCCCGCTTCTTTCCCTCCTCTCTCTTTCTCTCGGAGGTGCGGACAGAACCAGGGCCTCACCTGTACTAGGCAAGTGCTCACCGAGCCACACCCCACCACTTTGTTTCAGCCTCAGGCTGGCTGTGTGGGTCAGAATGGCCTCGGACTCCTGAGATGAACGATCCTCCTGCCTCAGCCTACTGAGCACTGGGACCACAGCGGTACAGCCCTGCACCACCAGCCAGTATGGTGTTCTGAGCAAGGCCTGTCCCGCAGGGTGGCACCTGTCTGCCCAGTGCAGAGCAGTGTGCCCGAGGGCTTCCTCTGGGGGACCCGGGCGCACCTCGTACTCCTCAGAGCCCTGTGCCAGCTGCCGCAGCTGCGCATCAAGCTGCGTGAAGCGCCGCGTGATCTGCTCGATGCGCGCGTGGAGGTCGCGGTACTCGCTGTACTCGGCGTTGAAGTCGTTCTTGTAGCGCTGGCGCTGCTCCGAGGAGGAGATGGCCACGTACTTGCTGTGAGGAGACGGGGCTGTCAGACTTGGCTGTGGGAGAGCAGGGCGGGCAGCCACATGGCGCAGGGAGCCCCACCCCCGGCCCACTGGACTCACAGCAGGTAGTCGGGCGTCTCGGACGTGGATGTGGGCACGCTGGCGCCGGCACTGCAGGCTCCGTTCAGGCCTGCAAGAGCCGAGGCAGACCTGAGTATGGCGGGGCAGACAGTGGCCGGGCAGCGTGGCAAGGCCTGGCTGTGGCTCTGTGGCTCCGACACAGGTGAGGCCAGGCCTCATTTGGCGCCCTGCTCCTCCTCCTCCAGCCTCACCTAAACAGCAGCTCAGCCTGGTCCGAGCCCTGTGGCATCCTGGGCTCTGGCCCAGCACAAAGGGTCAGTGGTCTCCGGAGACACCTGCCACATACCCCAGGCCTGGTCCCCACTCAGAAAGAACCTCTGCTCCCTTTGGACCTGGGCAGCCCGGGGCCACGCTGTGCATGAGGTCTGTGCCCAGGCAGCCTACAGTCCATGCCCGGGGCAGGCAGCACCCCGCCAGCATCTGGAGGTCTGGAGGGGAGGAACCAGGCGCTGGCCGCCCCATCCAGCATGCAGCCCACACCTTCCTGAAGGCTCTCATTTTCTCTTTCTTGTGCTCCTAGGGAAGAACCTGGGGCCCCTACACTGAGCTATGTCCCAACCCCTTTTCAGTTTTCTACTTTGAGACAGGGTGTAAGCTGCCCAGGCTGGGCTTGAACTTTCAATCCTCCTGGCTCAGTCAGCCTCCCAAGAGCCGTGTCACAGGTGTGTGCCTCACACTCCTGCATGGATGGTTTGGGTGTGTGCCTCGAAGGCCTGGGCTGCTGACCCCACAGACACGCACATCTCCCCAGTGCCCGGGCCCACGAGCGGTGGCACTAAGTGGATGCAGGTCAGACAAGAACCCTGAGGTCAGGGCACAGGGCTCGCGGCCATGACACGCCCTCATTCCCAGCACTCTGCAGGACACAGAGGCCCGCCGGAGGCTGCCGCGTGGACACTACTGGGCCGGGGCTCCACACGCCCACCGCCAGCCTCACGGCAGGCCCAGGCTGCCGACGCCAAGGACAGAGTGCCAGCCGGCCAGCAGCACCTCACTCCACCCTCCAGGTCTCCACCGGCTGGACAAACAGGGAAACCAAGGCTGAGGGCCAGCCCAGCTGGTGAGGGCCTCACCTAGTCTCTGCCTTCCACCCAGCCTGCGTGCAGGCTGTGAGGCTGTGCTGCTTCGCGCCACGGGCCTGCTCCAGGGGCTCCCTCACCCAGTGCCGTCCCCAGCCAACCCCTCAGGGGCCCTGGGCCTGGATGACACGGCCACTGTGCCCTGGGCACCGCTGCTGTCCCCGTCTCCCTCTCTTGCGTGTGTGGTGCGGGGACACAGCCGGGGCGCTCTGGGGCTTGTGGCAACTGTTCTTTGGTCCCGGCTGTCCTAGGTGTGGAGGGCACGACATGGTGTGGGGACCTGAGCAGGCAGGACAGAAGCCCTCCTCGAGGCCCCTCCTGGCCGAGGCAGGGGCTGTGGCTCTCGGGGGCAGCAGCTCGGGCCCTGCCTGTGGCTGCGGATACCCAGATGCATGGACATTCTCCCTTCCTGCGACTCCAAGCACTCACAGCCAAGGCCGTGCGGCAGTCGGGCCGCTCCACGGCTCTGATCCCAAGGCCTGGGCTCCCAGGTGGGTCAGCATGCAATGACCACGTTTGCCCCAGCCAGGCCCACACCCGTCCCTGCTGCTGGCAGCACAGGACTCTGCCGCCTGCATGGTGGCCGCGTCCTTTCTGCTGCGGTTCTGGGGATGGAGCCAGGACCACACACTCAGCCACACACAGCCCTATGACACTGGTCTCGCTCTGCCCCAGCACCTACCCAGGGCGTCGGGCGGCAGGGCGCGGGGCCTGTCCTCCGCCAGCCTCTCCTTGG